GTAGGAAAGGCTGGATTTACCTTCCTGCCTGAGAAACTCAAAAACAGTTTTCAAGACATGGGACATGAGGCAACAAAGGACAGTCACTGCTGAAACAAGCGACATGAGCCCCGAGACTGCCCAACCTAACTTAGATGAGTATCAAAATAATTACGCTCAGTAAAAGAACTCAAGCAGAGAAAAGACTGCACAGGGGTTAAGAACATTTATGTCAAATTCTGGAAAACAAAACCTAAACTACAGTGACAGAAAATAGTTCAGTGGTAGCATGAAAAAACTTTTAAGAGTAACAGATAATATTCCTTATCTTGGTTGTGGCTGTGATTTCATAGGTATATATATGCCAAAACTTATCAAATTGTATGCTAAAATATGTATATGTTATTGTACATCAATTATAACTCAATAAAGCCATGAAATATATTAAAAATGAAGAAACATTATAGCAAACAACCATTAGGTAAGAATAAAGTGTTAGTTCTTACAAGGTGTCAGGTAATGTTATAAACACTTTGCATGTATTATCCTACTCAATTCTCACAACCTATGGTATAGGAATTACTATTATCCTTATTGTACAAAAGAAACTGAGCTATATAATACAGAGAAACAACTTGACTAAAGAAATACAGTTCAGTGATAGAGATGGGAGTCCAACAATGTTAGGCTATTTGTGTTGCTATAAAGAAACACCTGAGACTAAGTGAATTGTAAAGAAAGAAGGTTTAATTGGCTCTCAGTTCTGCAGGCTGTACAGGAAGGGGGATATCAGCATCTGCTTCTGGTGAGGGCCTCAAGAAGCTTACAATCATGGCCGAAGGCAAAGGGGGAGCAGACATCTCATATCGGGAGAGCAGAAGCAAGAGAGCAAGCAGGGGGAAGTGCCACACAGTTTTAAGCAACCAGATGGCCCATGAACTCATTCGTCACCAAGGAGGTGCTGCAAAGCTATTTATGAGAAATCTGCCCCAGTGATCCAGTCACTTCCCACCAGGCCCCAACTCCAACCCTTTGGATTACAATTAACATGACACATAGTGGGAACAAATACCTAAACTCTATCACAAGCCAAGAGGGACCTCACTCCAAAGCATGTACCATGAGCTACTACTCGACTCCACACAGGTAGACATGGCTAGTCATTAGATGTTTAATCATAAATGTTGCTGCCAACCTAGTGTGTTTAGTTTTCATAAGTGAAAGGAATGGTAATCTTAATTCTATTATTCCAAAGGAGAGATCTTGTTATCACTAGACTTGACATTGAAGTTTGTCGGATGGCAACGTGACTGACGGGTACACACTGAAATATCCCTCTGATGGTAAGTCTAAACAGTTTACACATCCTGTTTTACACATTACAGGCACTAGACAGTCAAAAAAGCAGTCACCAAACTGGATGATTTGTAGAAAGTGAATTCAGTTTTATTTTAAATGAACTGCCACTCGTCTTAATTTATAGGCAGAACTAATTTACCTTCCTTGATTAACTCTCTACATATTCTACTTAATGACTGAGAAAAAGGTAGGTCTTTGAACATCTGCTTTCTAGACTGCTTTGAGTGATTCCTAAGACCATTCACTTAACTTGATACATAAAATAAACACTATAGAATATTAAAATGTAAATAAGGCCACCTTGATTACAGCTGGATAATAAGAAAGTAACATGCCACTCATAAAATGAATAACCTGTTTTTTTCAGATATCAAGTTACTAGCGATTTTTAAAAATGAGAGCAATAAACACTGACAAATCTGAAGTTATAAGGAGGAAATTAAAATACTTAGAATCAAAGTCACCAATTAATTTCATTACTTATATAATTTGAACACATAAAGCAATAAATAAAGCTAATTTTAATGAAAAAAGGCAGTTAAAGTAAATAACATATTCTTATAGTATTAATTCTCCAATCTATTCTGTATAAGTATCCTTTGAAGTTAATCTCATTCTCTTTTCTCCAGGAGCAGTAATTCACACATTCAAATATACACACTGAGGACTTACCAGTAGGCTAGGCCCCTTGGTCTTATACTCTGAACAATGAGAGAAAGAAGCTTCAAAAATTTAGTTTTACATTTTTTATCTATTTTGAGCTAATTTTTGCACAAATTGTGAGGTTTACATCAAGGTTCTGTTTTATTATTTTTTTGCATATGGAAGTCCAATTATTCCTAAACACACTTTCTCCATTGAATTGCCTGTGTATTTTTCTCTGACTTTTGGGATTTTTTTTTTTTTTAATGTCTTGAATTTTAGGCAGTTTACTTATGAGGTGTCTGATCATGGATTTCTCTGTTTAGATTCACTCAGCTTCTTAAATCCTTGTATCTTTCACCAAATTAGGAAAGTTTTCAACCATTTTTTCTTCAATTTTTTTTTTTTTCCTGAAACACACTTTCTCCTCTCCTGGTACACTTGAGACACAAATGTTAAAGCTGTGAGTATCATCTCACAGGTTCCTAAGGTTTGCTTCATTTATTTAAGCACAATGATTTTTTTCTCAGTTGTTCAGACTGAATAATAATTTCTATTGCTCTATTTTCAGATTCACTCACTCTCTCTTTTGTTCATCTTTATTCTACAATTCAGTCCATCCAGTTTGTTTTTTATTTTGGCAATTGTATTTTTTAGTCCTAAGATTTTCGTTTGTTGGAGTTACTCTCCTGGAGTTCTGGCTGTACCAATGTCCATTTCTGTGTTTCAGGATGCCTTTAGAACAGGTCACTGGATGGCAGGATAAAAATGAATCCCACAGTTTTTTATTTTCAGCCCAGGTTGCTCTCGAAAACTCCACATGTATATAACAGTCTACCTAAAATTGTACTTGATATTTAATGATAATTTTGAAGCAAACATGTCCAAAACAATATTCTTCATTGTCACTTATCAACTCGCTTTTTGAATAGCTTTCCACGTCTCAGTAGAAGGCAACCTCTCTTTTCAGTTACTGCCACCAGAATCCTTGGAGTCATTCTTTACATCTATTTCTTTTATGCTACCCAGCCAGTCTGACAAGAGATTCTCTTGGCTCCATCTTTAAAAGATATCCAGAATCTAAGCCACACCCCACTACTTTCACCATTCCTGTCCCAGTCCAAGCCCCCAACACACTCCACTTCAACCACAGTAACAGGCACCTGACAGGAATAGGCTTCTTGCTTCTAACCCAGCCCTACTATTGTCTGCTCCTTATACAGTGATGACAATGAACCTTCAAATATCTAAGTGCACATCAAAGTGAGTCACACCACTGCACTCAGGGTAAACGTTAAAGCCCTGACACTGGCTATAAGACCTGACTTATAGATCTGACTCCTCTATTGCTTCTCTGATAGTATCCCCTATCACTCTCTTTCTTCTCCTCTCTGCTATGGTTGTGGTGAGGTGGTGAATGCTCCAAGCACACTCCCACCTAAGGCCTTTTTACTAGTTGATACTTCTGTCTGATATTTTGTTCTTCCTCATATCTGTATAATTAATTTACTCAACTCCTTTTAAGCCTTTATTTCAATGTTACCTTCTAAATGGGGTTTGCTCTGACCTCTTGGTTTTAAACTACAAACCCACACTCTCCTCAGACCCCTTCCCCTATTTTTTTTTTCTATAACACCTTCCAATTCTGCCATAATACACAACTTATCCTTTGCCATGTCTACTGTTCCTATGCCAGAAGGTAACTGCTTGGTGGCAGGGATCTTTCTCTAATTGTTCATGGCCATAGCCCTAGTGTTTACACCACCGCATGACTCAACAAATGTCTGCCAAGGCAAGTGAGTAAATATGCCTGGAAAACGGTATGTGAGCAAGGGGAGCCGTGGCAAGGAGCTGAGGTAAGAGAAGTAGCCAGAGACCCACCTTGTAAGACTTATCATCTATTAAATCTTGGTGATGGCTGACAGACGCCACACTGTTTTTCTGAACTCATGACTCCCAGCTTTATATTGCCTTATTCCTGTTTGATTACAACAGCTGTATTATAAAGGATGGTTATGATGCTTGTACCCATATTTAATCTCTCCTAACAGATTTTAGATGATCAATTCCAAGGCAGCATTGCTGGGTCCTACATCAACCTGTTTATTCCAGAGCAACTAACAAAATGGCCTGTACACAGTGCAAAGTCAGACAATGACTCCCAAACCACCCTAATTACACACAAAAAACTAGTCACTGAATTATACTTTAATGTATAAAAAGATGAGACTTTGTAGTGTGTGCTCGTGTACATGCAAGGTATGTCAATAAATACACTGGACTTCAGAGGGCTGAATGAGTTTTAGCTTTAAGGAGGTCACCTGGGGAAGTACTACACTAAACCCAACTACGCTGTTCTTTCTTCACGTCTGTATAATGTTGACACTATATAAGCCTCTTTAAAAAAAAAAAAGTTCTTACTTTTGTTATATTTTTTTCTTCCTGAAATAGTATGACCTTAATCATATTTGGCACAGAATGATCTTTTGATATTTATGAAAATAAAACTTACCCTCACAGGATAAAAATGAGTCACTGCTCAGGATATTTAAAAGAATAAGCTCAGATTCTGACAAAACTTCTAAAAGGATCTCAACAAAGGTTATTGACAAAGCCTTTCAAAATGACTACCGTATTCAGGACTACACACACTCACAGGATTTAAAAATCCATCCTTAGTCTAAAATCAAGTTCCTGGAAAACAGGCCAAAATACTGCCTTACTGCTGAACACAGCCAATATTGATGTACAGTAACGACCCAGATCCCTCACCCAGAGAGGGGAAAACAAGACAAAACTGGAGTCAGCCTCTTTTTCTGGTACCATAAAACCTCTGTGCTCTAATTTTCCTTCTTCCTTTCTTTTTAAATTTGGAAACAGTTGGCCAACAGTAATTAAAAAATTGGTGAATATCATGTTTCAGGTTAAAAGAAAAGTTACCATTACCAATCATGAGACACAGGGACATCATGAAACCCCAACAGGATGCCTTGAATCCAGCATCACTTCTGTGGCATTCGTGCCCAAAATGAATAATCTTCATTTATTCATCAGGAAACATTAGTCAACCCCCCAAAAAAAGACATTCCGTAAAATTACAGACTGACATTCTTCAAAATTGTCAAGGTGATTAAATACAAATGTGTACATTGAGCAACTCTCTCAGATCATAAGAGACAAAGGAGACACAGAAACTAAATGCAACATGGGGTCCTAAACTAGGTTTGGGACCAGAAAAAGGACACTTGTGAGAAAAGTGACAGCATTTGAATAAGGTCTACAGATTAGTTAGTAATAACATATCAGTGTTAACTGTCTAATTTTGATAATTGTGGTATAGTTATATAACATGTTAATATTTGAGGAAGCTGGGCAAAGCATACATAAGAATGATTTATACTATCTTTGTAACTATTCTGTAAGTCTGAAATTGCAATGAAAATGCAAAATGAAAAGTTAAAAAATAAAGGCTATCAACAAAAGAAATAAGTGTTATAGAAAAAAAAAAACATGAATGGAGTACTCTTCTAGATTTGAAAAAAACCACAGATTTAACCAAATGAAAAATGGATCTTGACCTGGAAAAACAAAACACAAAATGACAGCTATACAACTGGAGAAATCCAATTATGAATCATATTTTAAATGATATTACTTACTAAATTACTGTTAATATTCTTGCTTGTGATAGTAGTGCTGGTTATGTAAGAGAAAATTCTAGATTCTTAGAAAATATATGCAGAAATATTTAAAGGCCCATCTATATTTTGAAATGTTTCTATGAGAAAGAAGGATTTGGGGAATGGAAGGAGAAAGAAAATAGAATAGGTCTTGGTGAAGGGTATAAAAATATGTGCTTTACTGCCTTTCAAATTTCCTATTTGAATATGCCTCTCCTCAAAAGCTGGGGAAATAAAAAATGAATTCACAGAGCAGTGGAAATACAAAGCATCTCAATCCCAGTGGTGTACACCCAAGCAAGAAGCCTTAACAAATTACCTTAGTTATAATAAGGTTTCCTGACACAGACCCCAAAACCTCCAGTAGAAGAGGTAAGAACAAAGACCAGGAATTAGAAAATCTACCACTATTTTCTCTGTAAGTTTAAGATTTTCTATACTGTCAGATAAAAGGATCTTAATCCTCTGAACTTGTATTTCATCCTTGTAAATGCATTAAAGGAAAGTACTATTTTAAAAACTATTTATAAAAGAGAATTTTATTTTATAATATTTGCATATTCTCCCAGTTGGGAGAGGACAGGAAATGTAAATGCTTTCTTAAAGGTGAGAATATTGGAGATGAAACTAGGGCTATACATTGTACAAAAATCCCCAGTAAAATTGCAGCTAAGTTCTGGGTAACCATTTTAATTATTTTTCAATTGGCTAGTGCTTCAAATCAATAGTATTTCATTTTGTGCTTAATATCTGTAATCAAAAACATATATACACATATATATTACAAATAAAAGCACTGGTTCAAGTATTTGATAGTCAATTACATCCCATATTTTAATTACATCTGATATAACTATTTAAGGAGGTTTGATTTTGCTTTAATGTTTCTACATTCCTTCACATCTTTCCTTTTATTGCATTATATACTTTTAATAGTCATTTGATACTAAACAATATTCTTTCTAATAAAAACTGAAATTGAGCCTTCTAATTTAAAAACCACATGATTGCAATGGAACATTAATATTGTTCATTAGAAATATTACCATCTATTCAAAATAATTATTTTATAATAGAATTTTTTTAATTTATAAAATATACCTTAAAAATCAACATATTACCATGCAGGTCCATGCTTCCAGTAAAGAAAACAAAACAAAATACTATTTTTTGACAAATTGCTTTCCTGTAAACTGCTATCACAAAAGGACAGAAGTGATGATATGACAATCAATAGCATCATGTTAACTCTCTTGTTTTTATCAAATGTACAGTAAATTCAAATAAGGAGGTACAATTTCATTTGGATTAACTTAACAAATGTCACCCGATATGAAACCACAGACCTGTAAAAACTTAGGGGAACGTTATTTGTCAGATTTTAAACATCTATTTCCTAGAGTGACTACAATTAATGTATTTTACCCAAAGATATTTGCTTTCTCCATAATATTAAAAAGAAAACTAAGTATCTATTTTCCCACAATACTTTCCCCATATTTGAATTCTCCCCACTTATTTTCTATCTTTCAGCTGTCAGCATCAGCTCATCTGGAAAAGAGGAAGAGCTGAGGCAGCTAACAGTGGAGCCAGGCTCACTGGCAATGGCCAACAAGCCTTCCCTGGAGATTACACCCATGGCTGTTCATACAAGCTTCTATAATAGGAGGCAAGTGACACATTTTCTTTCAACCAAAAGAGATTTACCAAGAAGGGAGAAAAAAATTAAGTACATTCTACTGTGTCTATTATAGAAAGCTCTTTATAACAGTTAACAGAAACATTTATAGCCAAAAGGATGATATCTCAGAGATCACTTTAGGCATGGCAAAATTCACCAATAGAAAAACACAGTTTTTGAAAAAAGCAGTCTTTTCTTATCATTTATAACAAAGGAAAGAGGACAAAAGAGATGACAAAAATATCTATGAAAAAAAATCTTCTGTAGCTAGAGCAGAAGAGGATTTTCTACATAAAAATTTCAGAATAGCTTCTTTAGGTAATAAACACAAAAGCCTATTTTTTTTTAAAAAAATCTCTTCTGTTTCAAAAAAATAGTCTTCACCCAGGGCACTTTAAGAACTATAATATTAACTTAAAAGTAGACCAAAAATTCTGTGGATCTCTTATCTAAATGTGAATATGTAGCCTCATGTTATGTAGCCTCACTGAAATTTTTATTAATAATGAAAATGAGTCTGATTTTCATTTTTATTAAAAAAATTCAATGCTACGTAACATTTTATGAGCTATGAACCTGAAAGTTTCATGGTATTAAAAGAGGAACCAAAATATATATTCCTCAAACTCACTTAGGAAAAAAGAGGTCAGGGCAGTGGCTCACACCTGTAATCCCAAAACTTTGGGAGGCCAAGGCAGGAGGATTGCTTGAGGCCAGAAGTTTGAGGCCAGAAGTTCAAGGCCATCCTGGGCAACACAGTGAGAACCTGTCTCTACAAAAAGAAAAGAAAATTAGCCAAGTGCAGTGGTGTGCACCTATAGTCCCAGCTACTCCAGAGGCTGAGGTGGGAGGATCTCGAGCCCAGGAGTTTGAGGCTGCAGTGAGCTATCGTTACATCACTCTACTCCAGCCTGGGTGACCGAGCAAGACCCCTGTCTCCTTTAAAAAAAAAAAAAAAAAAAGAAAGAAAGAAAGAAAGAAAGTGAGAAAAGAAAAGGAAAAAGAAAAAGACAACCAACCTGTATAAGTACATGGGAAAATGTCAAAGTATTCTTTTATGACAAATTTATTTAATGAAAACTAGAAAAATAATTCTATTCATCAGAATATATAGTCCAAATTCCAACAAATCTACAAAAAAAAAATGCAGATTCTAATTAATACATCCACTATTGAAGAGGACCCTAAAGAACTTAAGTATATTGGAAAAAAATTCTAGTTTCTAGACCTCATATGGTATGACACTGTGTGTTTACAGAAGAATATGGAAAAGCCTTTTATCTATAATCTGTTTTCATCTAATCAAAACAAACATTGCTCTGTGCCTTCTGGTAGTTGTAACACAAAACTTTTCATGATCAAGACACAGAAAATATCCAAATTACCAAGTTCATCTTGCTCCCACCCCAAATTTCTGCCACCTATTAACCCCCATCTGTCCCCCCAAATTATGTAAACATTATCAAAAAGTTGCTGTACTCATTGCTGTAACAAATTACCACAAACCTGTTACCCTCAAACAACTGAAATTTATTCTTTCTCAGTTTTGGAGGCTAGAAACTCAAAATCAAGGTGTCTGCAGTACTGGTTCCTCTGGGAGGCTCTCAGAGAAAATCTGTTCCATGCCCCTCTTCCTTGGCTTCTCGTGGCTGCCAACAACCCTTGGCACAGTTCTTGGCTTGTAGATGTATTACTCCACTCTGTTTCTGTCTTCACATGAACTTCTCCTCTTCTGTGTCTTCCTCCTTCTTATAAGGACCCCTTGTCTTTGGATGTAAACCTCTCTCAGATAATCCAGAATGACCTCATCTTGAGATCCTTAATTACATGTGCAAAGACCCTTTTCCTTCCAGGCTGGCATCTCTTGGTATGTGTTAAGGCGGGTGAGGCGTAAAGGGAGCAGGCCATTCAACCCACTATAGCCACCATCTTTCTATCTTCTAGGCTTAGTTACATCCTTATTACCAATTAATGCTTACTTCTCAAAAAAATTTCAGAAACACGTCACATCACCCTTTTCTAAATTTTGCTTTATTTCACATAGTTTTCTGGGAATTCTTTTTAAATGGATCCATTTTCTTATAAATCCCTGTAGTATTTTCATTAGTCATAGTGAAAAAGGCAGACGTAATAGAATAAATATATATTAAATTATTTTGGCCTACAAGAATAACATTTCATGAATTGCCAAAGTAGAAAACATAGGGAGTCTTACACGTTGACCTCAGCAGTCTTCAATTTCACCGTAACCTGCTTTTAATTTCTACCTATATACCATAATCAGAATAAACACTCTTATAATGATAAGGTTAACCATAAAATTTTAACCAATTCATATGCAAAAAAGCCTGCCATGTTCAACATTGACTTTCATATTTACATTGTTATTGTTGTTTCATTCATACTCTAAGCATCTTTTAGGACACATAAAAGATACCATGAGCCAAGATTGTGACACTGCAGTCCAGCCTGGGCGACAGAGTGAGACTCCATGTTAAAAAGAAAAAAAGGTTCCAAGAAAGGTTACTATAACATGCATATCCTTAAACAAAGTCTACCTTTTGAAAGAATGACTTCACAAAATGAGAATGCCTCCAAATTCTCTGAATCAAAAGACCAGCAATTTCAGATTTATTGGAGATTCAAGACTTCATAATCAATTTTGGAAAGATGTTTTCTTAAATGGCTCTTTCAAGAACAGATGCTCATCAATTGTTTTCATAGGAAGAGAAGAAATGACACCTCCTCAGCTCTAAGTTCAGGCTACCCACTAACCCCAACTTTTGTCCCACTGCAAAGAAACATGAGGAGGAAGGTGGTACAAAGTCTGGAAACCCTCTCTTCCTTTTTTTTTGAGACAGAGTCCGCTCTGTCACCCAGGCTGCTGGAGTGTGGCACAATTTCAGCTCACTGCAACTTCCACCTTCTGAGTTCAAGCAATTCTCCTGCCTGAGCCTCCCAAGGAGCTGGGATTACAGGCTCACACCATGACACCTAGCTAATTATTTTATTTTTAGTAGAGATGGGGTTTTGCCATGTTGGCCACGCTGGTTTTAAATTCCTGACCTCAACTGATCCAGTGCCTCAGCCTCCCAAAATGCTGGGATTACGGGCGTGAGCCGTGGTACCCGGCCACCTCTCTTCTTCTTCCACTTGGGGTTTCACCGTCTGCATGAAGCTGTTGATGAGGATACAGACATTTAAATGCATTCATAAGGCTGGGCACGGTGGCTCACACCTGTAATCCTGGCACTCTGGGAGGCCAAGGTGGTGGATCACAAGGTCAAGAATTCACAACCAGCCTGGTCAATATGGTGAAACCCCATCTCCATTAAAAATACTAAAGAGTAGCTGGTTATGGTGGCACATGCCTATAATCCCAGCTACTCGGGAGGCTGAAGCAGGACAATCGCCTGAACCCAGGAGGTGGAGGTTGCAGTGAGCCAAGATGGCGCCACTGCACTCCAGCCTAGGTGATGGAGTGAGACTCTGTCTCAAAAAAATAATAATAAATTTTTAAAAAGGCACTCATAAAAGCTTCAAAATGTTTGTGTAATCCTTTAGGAAAACAGATCCAAACAGTGACAACAGTAATTTAGAACAGTAATTTAAAACTTAAGAAAAGGCTGGGCACGGTGGCTCAAACCTGTAATCCCAGCACTTTGGGAGGCCGAGGCGGGTGGATCACGAGGTCAAGAGATCGAGGCCATCCTGGTCAATTTGGTGAAACCCCGTCTCTACTAAAAATACAAAAAATTAGCTGGGCATGGTGGCACGTGCCTGTGATCCCAGCTACTCAGGAGGCTGAGGCAGGAGAATTGCCTGAACCCAGGAGGCGGAGGTTGCGGTGAGCTGAGATCGCGCCATTGCACTCCAGTCTGGGTAACAAGAGCGAAACTCCATCTCAAAAAAAAAAAAAACTTAAGAATCACCATCTTCACTGCCTACATAAGCTAAAAATAGGGCATACAGGCATACCTCATTTTATTTTGCTTCCCTTTATTGTACTTCACAAAAACTGCATTTTTACAAATTAATGGTAACCCTGTATCAAGCAAGACTATTGGCACCATTTTTTCCCACATCATGTGCTTAGTTCATGTCTGAGCCACATTTCAGTAATTCTCACAATATTTCAAACCTTTTCATTATTTTATCTCTTACGGTAACCTGTGAACATTAATCTTTGATGATACTACTCTAATTGCTTTGGGGGACCATGAACTATGCCCACCAAAGATGGCAAACTTAACCAATAAATGCACGTATTCTGACTGTTCCACCAACTGGCTGTTCCCCCACCTCTCTCCCTTTCCTTGGCTCTCTATTCCCTGAGACACAACAGTATTGAAATTAGTCCAATGAATAACCCTCCAATGGCTTCTGCAGTGTTCAAGTAGAGCAAAGATCCACATGTCTCTCACTGGAAATCAAAAGCTAGAAATGATTAAGTTTAGTAAGGAAGGCATGTCAAAAGATGAGATCAGCCAAAAGCTAGGCCTCCTGCACCAGTTAGCTAAGTTGCCAATGCAAAGCAAAATTTCCTGAAGGTAGTTAGAAGTGCTACTCACATGAATACAGGAATAACAAGGGAGCAAAATAGCCTTATTGCTGATAGGGAGAAAGTTTTACGGTAAGTAAAGAAGATCAAACAAGTCACAACATTCCCTTAAGCCAAAGCCTAATCCAGAGCAAGGCCCTAACTCTCTTTAACTCTGGAGTTAAGTCTGAGAGAAGTGAGGAAACTACAGAAGAAAGGTTGGAAGCTAGAAGAGGCTGGTTCATGAGGTTTAAGGAAAGAAGCCACCTCCCATGGCATAAAAGTGCAAGGTGAAGCAGCATGTGCTGATGTAGAAGCTGCAGCAAATTATCCACAAGATCTAGCTAAGATCAATGATGAAGGTGCCTACACTGAACAGACAAAACAGCCTACTACTGGAAAATGTTATCTAGGACTCTCATAGCTACAGAAGAGAAGCCAATGCCTGACTTCAAAGCTTCAAAGGACAGACTGACTCTCTTGTTAGGGACTAATGCAGCTGGTGGCTTTTAGTTAAAGCCACTGCTCATTTATCATGTCCAAACTTCTAGAGACCTTAAGAACTACACTAAATTAACTCTGCTTGTGCTCTATAAATGGAAAAATTAAACCTGGATCACAGCACATGTGGTTTACAGCATGGTTTACTGAATATTTTAAGCCCACTGCCAAGACCTACTGCTCAAAAAAAAAAGAGTTCTTTCAAAATATTATGGCTCAGTGACAGTATCCTGGTTACCCAAGATCTCTGACAGAGATGGACAAGGAGATGAATGTTGTTTTCATGCCTGATAACTTAACAACCATTCCACAGCCCATGGATCAGTCTACTTTCAAGTCTTATATTTTAAGAGACAAAATTCAGGCCAGGCACAGTGGCTCATACCTGTAATCCCAGCACTTTAGGAGGCCAAGGCAGGTGGATCACGAGGTCAAGAGATCGAGACCATCTTGGCCTACATGGTGAAACCCTGCATCTACTAAAAATACAAAAATTAGCTGAGCGTGGTGACGCGTGCCTGTAGTCCCAGCTACTCAGGAGGCTGAGGCAGAAGAATTGCTTGAACCTGGGAGGTGGAGGTTGCACTGAGCCGAGATCATGCCACTGCACTCCAGCCTGGTAACAGAGCAAGACTCTGTCTCGAAAAAAAAAAAAAAAAAAACCCACACATTTCATAAGGCTATAGCTGTCATACATAGTGATTCCTCTTAGGGATCTGGGCCAATTAAATTGAAAACCTTATGGAAAGGAGTGCCATTCTAGATGCCTTTAAGAACATTCATGAGTCATGGGAAGAGGCCAGAATATCAATATTAACAGGAGTCTGGAAGAAGATGATTCCAATCTTCATGGATGACTTGGAGAGATTCAAGACTTCAGTGAAGGAAGTCACTGCAGATGTGGTGGAAATAAGAAAAATGGAATTAGAAGAGCAGCCTGAAGACACGCCTGAATTGCTGTAGTCTCATAATAAAACTGAAACGAATGGAAAGTTGCTACTTGTGAATTGGTACGGTTTGGCTGTGTTGCCACCCAAATCTCATCTTGAATTGTAGCTCCCATAATTCTCACATGTTGTTGGAGGGAAATGGTGAGAGATAATTGAATCATGGAGGTAGTTTCCCCCATACTATTCTTGTAGTAGTGAACAAGTCTCAGGAAAGCTCATGGTTTTATAAGGGGTTCCTCCTTTCACTTGACTTTCATTCTCTCTGGCCTGTCTCCACGTAAGACATGCCTTTGCTCTTCCTTTGCCTTCTGTCATGACTGTGATGCCTTCCCAGTCATGAAGAACCGTGAGTCCATTAAATCTCTTTCCTCTATAAATTATTCAGTGTCACACGTCTTTATTAGCTGCATGAGAACGGACTAATACATGGATGAATTAGGAAAACAGTTTCCTGAGATGGAATCTACTCCTGATAAAGATGCTATGAACACTGAAGAAATGACGACAAAGGATTTAGAGTACTACATAAACGTACTTGATAAATCAGTGGCAAGGTTTGAGGATAGATTCCGATCTTGAAAGAATTATGGATAAAATGCTGTCAAACAGCAGTGCATGCTACAGAGAAATCTTTTGCGAAAGGAAGAGTCAACTGATGTGGCAAACTTCACTGCTGTCCTTGGAAATTGCCACAGCACCTCCACCCTCTAGCAACTGCCACTGTAATCAGTCAGCAGTCTCAACATCAAGGCAAGACCCTCTACCAGCAAAAAGATTATGATTCCTTGAAAGCTCAGATGACCATTAAAATGCTTAGCAATAAACTATTTTTAAATGAAGATATGTACATTGTATTTTTAGACATAATGGTACTGCATGCTTAACAGACTGAAGATAGTGTAAACATAACTTTTACATGCACTGGGAAACCAAAAAATTTGTGTGGCTTGCTTTATTGTAATATCTGTTTCATTGCAGTGGGAAAAATTTCTTAGGTATGCCTGTAACTTGAATGGGGACTTTGCTAGAGATGCAAACAATATACCCTTGGTCTCTTTACCCAAAATGTTGCCTTTCCAATTAACATGATTTTGCCTTATGCCCCGTTTCTAGGAACACATCAAGGATTTGAGAAATAGGCGTGAACAACTCATACCTCCACCAGGAATAATTGCCAATTTTGTTTCAACCAGGCCCATTTTTGCAGAGGAAGCTAAAATGAAAGAAAGAAAATTAAGTATCATCCATATCATCACATTCAAATCTGAAAAAGTTATGAGATACACTAAAAATATTATTTACTAAACTGATCACAAATTCTTAAAAAATCACTTCTAAAGCATTGTTATGGAAATAAGTAAACACTCTAAATGACATATAATAGGAGAGTCACACAACATTTTCTGTGAAAAACTGCTTGGCAGTGAATTAATTTTTGATGCATAAGGCCAGGGCTGTAACTCCATTATTAGACCTGATATTGCCAAGTCATATCTGGAGGCTTAGATCCACTAATTATTCAGGATTGGCAGACCTGTCAGTATCTGACAAGTCCAAATTCTTCAGCTGCCTGAATATAGTCCCCCACACCAAAGAGCTTAATAGGTTATATCAGATATGGCAACTTTTCAAGACCAAGTTTTACCCTGTGACAAATAGTTTTACGATTCTGACAGCTGGACAGGGTTCCTCTTTTCATGTCTGTTTCCACAGCTACTTTAAAACATCTTAATTACTTCTTTCTTTGCATATCCAAATGTACTTAGACTACTTTCCATATTCTAGTTTCCAAAACGTGTATTCCTTCAGAAATGGATTACATGTACCTTAGCTTTCCAAGTTAAAATCCAGTGATTTCATTATAAGAAAATAGGGTCCTAAAATAAAGTAAAAAGGAGAAAAAGTACACATGGACTAGCAACCAGAAATCCCAAGAAACTGACTTATGTTGACTCTACATTTTTCTAAAAATCTTTTGTAAAGATGAGGCCTCATTATGCTGCCCAGGCTAGTCTCAAACCCCTGGCAGCTCTGCCTTTAATATGAAGCCACATCAACAGTGAAAATGGAAAGCAAAAGAACAGTGGCTACATTGTGCTGTTTTGCCCAGTTCTCAGCCTCAGAGCCCAAGGACACAGGCAGAGCTGAGTCTCTATGGAATACAGTGTCCACAACTATAAACATGGGAGATCAGTCTATGTTGCTCTCATTAAGTAACAGGGGTCTGGGCTGTGGCCAAATAGTCAGGGTTCAAATCTCAGTTCAGTCACTACTTTGGAGCTTGCTGCTTACACTCTCTCTTCTCCAGTTTCCTCCAGTGCTCCCAAGTGCGTGCTCTCAGGGCTGTTAGGCAGATGGAGTGAGTGAATGCATGTCAAGCGCTAGAGTAACACTGGGTGCCTGAACTGCACACAGTCAGCGGTTAGCACTAACTGTTTTCACTATCTTCCTACTTGCCCCACAAGATCCTCAGAAAACCATTAGAAGAAAGTGGACTTCAAAGAGATTAAGTTATTACTACTGTAGCTAATGGTGATTTCACGCTTGGGCTAACATCCATAGATTAATGGCTTAATCTTCACAACAGTAGCAGTCATTTCCCCTATTTCCTGAGGAAGATATTGGCCTAAAAAGGGGAGGACCTCAGATTCTTTTCCTTATTTTCTTTCTTTTTTAAATTTTTTTTAAAACAGGTTCTCCGCCTGTCACCCAGGCTAGAGTGCAATGACATGATCACGGCTCAATATAGCCTCAAATTCCGAGGCTCAAGTGATCCGCTCACCTCAGCCTCCCAAAGAGCTGTGATTAGAGAGCTGTGAGCCACACGCCTGGTTCAGGACCTAAGATTCGAACTCAGTTCTGCCTGACCCAAATCCTGGCAAGAAACAATAAAAGACTTTTTTCAAGTGGGAATTTTGAAAACACCATTAAACCCAACAGGTAACGTTTTGAAAATGTTCTACTCAACAACAGGAAGTAGAATAAAATATTTGAAATTACCTGAACAGTAAACACAAACTTCATTTTTTAAAAATTATGTTTTTAACAGAATTAATTCTCACCTGCTACTCGTATATCACAAGCTAAAGCCAGTTCAAGACCACCACCTAAAGCGAGTCCATCTATTGCTGCAATCGTTGGCACTGGAAGATTAGCTGAAATTGAAAGAAAAATTTTATGCTTCCTTAGTAAGATCATTATCTCACTCTGTAATTCATTTAAAATTTTTTTCTGTGAATTTGTTTTAAATGGGAGATCATATACAGACTTTTGCATCCCTTGTACCTTTAACAAAATATAACCATTTCCTTCATTATTCTTCAAAAACTTTATATAATTACTGTATAGTATTCCATCATATGAATGTGCAATATCTTTAAACCTTCCCATATTATTGAATTACTTTCATAAATATTTTTTGTTGAATTAACAGAATCACAGTTCTATGATTTCTTAATCTCAGAACCAGAAGTCTTTCACAAGATGTTTGGTTCACAGAAAGTTCAAACCGAAATGACTTACACAAAATTGTGAAATTTATGATCCTTTATGGGCTACTTGAGTACTAAGAATGACACAGTCTCATTCAAAGAAGTGACATCTGCTCAAACAATAAAGAAACTGTCCAAGTATTTGCTGTGGCATTGACCCATGAGCTGTCATTTAGTGAGGAGCCCTAACACTATGACTGGAAGCTGGAAAACAATCAGGCTCTTCCACTTCAGAGGCAAGTTGCCCTGAGAGTCTGCTCACAAGCATGCCTGGAAAAAGGTCAGCCAGTCACAGAACTAAAAACTGAACTTTCTTGAGTCTAGAAACTGAGTATAATTTTGATACAACTTTTGTAAACTATGACATTACAGAGTTCATTTTCATAACCAGTTCAACAAGTGACTGGTTTTATTAGTTATTCTGTAAAGCAGAATTCTTTCTATTAATTTTATTTCTGACTATGGGAATGTGACCCTAGTCTGGCCAACGTTAATATGTAACAGAAAGTCGATTTTAAAAAGGTACTATCCCCCATAATCTCTTTCTTCCATAGGTTTCTGATATGTGAAATATCCCCAACAGAGACTCACTCCTTGACTGCTTCTAAAACATACAAATTTGCTGAAGTACACTGAGTCTTACTCACAAATAAAGGAATTCATCAGAGTTATTCAAAATCAAGCCTGAAAAGGCCAAGAAGGAGCACATATACACAGCTGCCATCTGAAGAACTTCCAGAAGAGCAGGTGTGGAAGGGGCTTTTGCACAGACAGTATTTCACTATCTGTACCTGTTTGAACATTTAGGGGTTGGGGGTGGGGCGGGATTTGAAAGGACAGAACAAATTCAAAATGTGCTTTCCAGAACACTTTGTGAAAAAAAAAATAACAGCTATGTCAGTGTTTCAGTCTGGAAATGAGTTTAATGTGCAAACAATATCTACTGAATTTTATCTGGAAAAAAAAAAAGTAAAATCAACAAAAATATAAAACAACAAGTTAATCTGAGTGCTTCCCAAGGTCATCCTGAGCTACTACAAGTAGAATGTAATGACTTCAGTTATCAACTCTCATCTCCTCTTCCTTCCTAAAAACCTGCCTAGAAATCATCTATTTTTACACCTTCTCAATCTACTGTCTCTACAACCTCAAGTCTCACCCACAGAAGCCTTCCTTAGGCCTTGCTGAGGCCCTCCAGCTCACCCCCTTTACAGACCAGCTTCTGAGAGTAGAGTAAATCCATGTCACTCATACCCATTCACCTCCAAACCACCAAGACCATTCTTGCTCCAGTTACCAGTGACATTATAAGATTGTCCTAAACATAGCGGACAATATTCAGTATCTATTAAGTGTACTGCCTCAGAATATCAGAGACATCCATCCTGGATACTCTCTCCTTGAATTCCTTCCTTCACCACCCACAGGGTCCCTCATTTTTCCTGCCTTTCCATCTACCTCTTGTGATTTCTCAGCCTTCTTCCCCTCTCAATATAAACTCTACCCAGGAGATCTCAGTCTCATCCACAACTTTTACCATGTATACTATCAATGATTTCCAGATCTCTACCTCAAACCCAAACAGCCCCCTGCTTGTTGGACATGCCCACTTAAATACTTTATGGTGTCCAAACCATTTCTTCTCAATCCTTCTTCTAGGTTGTATTTCAGTTAGTAGCACCTCCAATCACCAAGTCATTCAAGACACTCAGAAGTCATCCCAGATGTCCTCCTTTCCAATGCCCTTTTCTACTACCCAACTTCTGGATCCCATCATTTCTCACCAACAGGAAGTACTGAATTAATCTCCTTCACCTGCAATCTGCCACCCTTCTATGCATCTTCTACATTTCCTGTAAGGTAATCTTTCTCAAATGTAAACATAGTCATGCTATTTCCCTATTTAAAACTGTATAATGATTTATTCTAACTTCAGGATAGAAATGGTGTAAACATTAAGGATGGCACAAGGAGGTACCCAGAACTAGGTTCTGCACATCTGTCTAATCTCTTCTGTAACCTCAGACAGATAATCTCTTCCAGCCCCAACTCCTTAAAACACTTCCAACAGTCTCCATTCAAGACTCAATACCTGTATACAAGGTGCAGCTCTGCCTAGAATGCCTACCTAGCGCCTGTTTGTCTCTCAAGCCTCAAATGTCCCTTTCCTTATGCTTCCATGGCACTCTGTACATACTTTTGTATCAGAGGATTCATTAACCTACTCCCCATATGAGACAAAAATTAACATTACATCAATGCTACTCAATAACGTCCTTACTAATCTGGGACAGACCTCAAGGTTTTTTACTGCCTCCTCCCCCTTTATTATATTAAACCCAGTAATTTGCCCACTTTTCTTATCTCATTATTATTACCCTCTGTTGTTTAATAGTTAAAAAAAATAAAAGAAACATATGCAGTCCTATGGAACTAAAGAAAAGAAAAACTTCCAAGAGTTCTAAGCTGGAGAAGAAGGGCAGAAGCAGAGAAAGAGTGGGTGCTCTCTTCCTGCTACATGAGTGCTAAAGTCATTTACCAAGTAGCTGCTGGGGGCCGTGATATTATGAAATACATATTTGGTCTTCATCGCTGTTTCCAGATATACAGCTCTTAAAGCCCTTAGAATCTCTGGAGAGATAAATATATCTTTCTTATTTCTCTAGTATATTTATACTTTTTGGAAGTAATGAAAATTATTTTTAAGTCTGATAGTTAAGAATTGGAGCCACGTACAGTGACTCATGCCTGTAATCCCAGCATTCTGGGAGGCCAAGGCCAGAGGACTGCCTGAACCCAGGAATTCAAGACTAGCCTGGGCAACATGGTGAGACCTCATCTTGATTTTTAAAGAAAAAATTTGAGAAATTAAGTTTCTAAAGAGAATGAAAACTGTATCCCCTTGAGAAGCTTAGCAATTCCAGGGCTTGTTTCCTTTTGTGCAGGCTCCTGCCAGGGTCACTGCAAAAGGAGCCAGTCTGGGTACCACGAGACACACCAGAGGTGAGGACTGGGGGCCTGCAGATAGGAGACAGCAGTGCCAAGAGCAAGAATTCTCAGGCACCACATGCCTTACCACTTGTAAGAAATATATAACACAAAATTACAAGAAATTTGGGTTCCACATACAAAAAAAATAAGAAAAATGGGATACTAATATTTTCAAATCATTAAATAGGTTAAGCACTGGCACATTATTAATTAACATAAATTAGCATTGTAGAAAGCTGTCTACGAAATATTTCTGACTAAATAACTGAGTAAAATAGCTTCATTAGTTTTCAGTAATTAAATATTAGCCATTTTATAATATTATAAACTCGAAAGTTATACATCATCCTAATTATTCCCTAAAAGATGTCTGTTATAGTAAATTTTATCCAGGAGAATATGCATCATCTCAAAGCACATGCTAGTCTCATAGTTACCTGATATATGTGTTTTTTTTTTTAATCTAGTATTTCTTCTACTTGGTAGCAATTCATAATCAAAGAGGGGCTGGGCACAGTGGCTCAGCCTCTAATCTCAGCACTTTAAGAGGCCGAGGCAGGTGGACCATTAGAGCTCAGGAGTTCACACCAGCCTGGCCAACATGGTGAAATCCCATCTCTACTAAAACTACAAAAATTAGCCAGGCGTGGTGGTACGCGCCTGTAATCCTAGCTACTGGGGAGGCTAAGGCAGCGGAATCGCTTGAACCCTGGAGGCAGAGGTTGTAATGAGTAGAAAGTGCGCCACTGCACTCCAGCCTGGGCAACAGTGCGAGACTCCGTCTCCAAAAAAAAGGGAAAAAACAATACTAGAAATCATAGCGGGAACACAATAAAAAACACCTTTAGAAAGTAAATTATGAATTTCAAAGATCTAGAAGAATAGCAAAATGACAGTTGTATATAAGCACAAATAAATGAAACAGGAGCTGCAAATCCAATGAGCAATGGCTATTCCCAACAGCAAGAGGAAGAAATTATGACTCAGTATGTTATGCAACCAATAGGATCACACACTATTTTGAGTTTCGTACCAGGAAACGAGCCAGGTATGACAAAGAAGATAATAATCCTTTGAAACACTCCTAAAAATATAATTAAAGCAAACAATTGAACGGTTTGCTATTTTAAGAGGAAAAAAAAGCAGCTGTAAGGAAGGCCTCTGGTGCACGTGAGTAGTCTGCAGGATCTGCGGCCTACAATAACTGGAGTCAAGGGACTATCAAAGCGGGAAAAACTGAAGTATCTACTCTCAGCTCTCAAATAAATACAATACATAATGTAGGTTATTTGTATGCTTCTAGAAACAGAAACAATTTGACTATTAAAAAAAAATGTTAGTGTCAGATGCATGATTTTTAAATTTGCTTTTGCTTGAAGAATAGTGTTCCTACACAAAGCAGTGAAATCAAGTATTTCAAAGGAAAGGCCCTATGCAGTACTATGTTAGCAATCTGAATACTAAAATATTTCAAGAAACATAGAAATAAAATCAAAGTTAACTGAAAATTACAATGAATTACCTTTCATGTCAGCTAAAACTTTACCTTCATCCTAATATATATTCTCCTATTCCCATCACTGAATTTTTTTTTTTTTTTTTTTAGACAGAGTTTTGCTCTAGTTACCCAGGCTGGAGTGCAATGGCACGATCTCGGCTCACCACAACCTCCG